GCCTTTCGTAGTATCGGGTGATGCCGCACTTCGTTAGGCTGCAGGCCGATGATGAGGTTTTTGGGGCACGCAGTCGCCCCCCTTGCCGGCATCGAAACGCCTCAAAACGAGAAAATAGCGCAAATCTTTTGTGCTACGTTCTTGTCGTGGGGCGTTCAAACAACCCCCCAAAAAACCTACGTGTGTTTTTTGGGGGGTTGTTTGAACCTCGAGTTTCTCAGGCCGTCAGTGACTCTAGTGTTGCAACGTTAGAAAAACGACTAAGGGCACAAAGGCGTGCACGTTGATATATAGAGCACATGGTCTCAAACTAAGAAGATAAGAGCAGGAAGAGAAAACAGAGAGGTTAAACAATGTTGAATTAACCTGAGACTGGGGTAGAGAAGAAACATCAAAACGTAGAAGGGAAAGAAAAGAGACAGGACGACGTCGTCCTGTTTATTTTCTTTCCCTTCTACGTTTTGATGTCTCTTCCCTACCCAAGTCTCAGGTTACCCCAGTCTCAGGTTAATTCAACATGGTTAATATTCACCACCTCGCCTGCACCCTTACGATGTTTTCTAGGTTAAACAAGACGATCGACCTCCGCTGGCTACTCCAGGTTGGGAAGGGGAGATGAAAGGAAGAGGAAAGAGAGAGTAGAAGAGGAATGGACTATCTAGCTAACACCCGCGTTAACACTGTGACTGCGGGATTATGCGTGCACATAATCATGAGAGTGTCGAAGTATCCAAATGGCACTGAAACTAGGAACACTGAGACGCCGCTTGCACTGCACAAATGTTCACCCATGTAGCGCGAGTTGTGCTTACCAGCACGAAGTTCAGTGGAGCAAGCACACGCTTAGCCAAAGTTCTGAACTAACAGTCTTGCGCGAAAACACAATTAATGGAAAATAGAGCACTTTTGTACGAGCAGAACTCAAACTAGAAGCACGATGAAGACCATAAGCATAGGAACCCCTAAGGTAACCTTCGTCGTAAATATTCAAAAATTGCGATGCTCTGAGCGTATTTATCAAAATAAGAGCCTGACGAAAATACAATTTTTACAAAAAAAAAAAAAAAACTATGAACGCAGAAAAAGAAAAAGCTCAAACTGCATCAACATAAGTGAGCAGCGCACCTAACAAATGCTCTTTCTCTAGTAGGCCAAAAAGTTTCATTCGAAATGTGACATTCTGTTGCCTAGCCTACAAGTTAAATTCAAAAGCATCTCAAAGAACGACCTTGAATAAATCTACCAAAAGCCCTATTAGAAAAAATCATATATAATTTATTCAATAGACGTATCAGAACTTATATAAACTTATAAGTTATAAAAAGCATATATAGGTTGTACATGATCTTGTATGTTCTCGAATGTTCGATAGACAGATTCATTTACATAATAATTGTGTTGTGTGTATGCTTATACAGCCGGAAGTTAGTCAGCTCCAATGGGCGTCTGGTGTCTCAGCTGCAAATGAGCAATCTATCAATTTAGCCAGTGCAGTAGAACCGTTAGCCTGGGGTCTTTAACGTGCACAACGCGGTTATGTTTTAATAGGTGAGCGGCGTTTGGCAACTTCCGGTTTCTTAAGAAATTTAGTTTAGCTGCTGACGAACGACGACGATGATCTGCAAGCCGCCCTAAGCATGGTTCTGAAAACTACAGCCTGGACGTTTCATAACTATGCTTGCACAGGCTCGCAGCTCATTGTCGTCGTTTTCCAACACCGAAACAAAATTTCCCAAGGAACCGGAAGTTGCCAAACGCCGCTCACTTAGCCTCATTGTGCATAGAAGCTTGGCATTGCACATGCTCACGGAGGAAGTTGAAGTATCCTCAATCTAGGCGCGAAACAATCTGACCAAGCGTTCGTCGCATGCATGGGCCTCCTGCGCTGAAACTTCGAACAAAGTGTGGCGCCCTCATTTTGGCTAGTAGAAGCTCCCCTGATCGGGCCTCGCACCACTTACGGCACGTTGGCCGAGCTTTTTATTTTTCTGTGTGGTGCTGACGAACGTAAAATCACCTTTGGACGTCCTAAATCGGCTAGAATCAACGCCGCAAGACAATCGAAAGTGCCAGATTCATACCACCACCGCTAGGGTACGCGTCTAATTCCTCTGGGTGGTGACGTCATAACATCTGGCGTCTCGAGGCTGTTTTGTTGTTGTTGTTTTCTTTTTCATTTCTACATTGAATCGCGTGGAACGGCGTCACTTGACTCGCACTCTTAAGGCTCAGTTATTCTCCGACGAAAAGTCGGCGTGGGGCAGCGGACACCGATACTGATTGGTCCAAGATATCTCGTCCCTGCTCGCCGGCCAATTAGAGACCCTCCTTCTGCGCTACGATACGTTCGCTGCGCGCAAAGTCTAGGTATAACAGAGCCTTTAGCGTCTTAGCATTGACCTGTGCTTCGACGGCGTTCGAATTTTTGTTGTTTTTTCGTATTTTCCTCGTGATCTCGCGTTCCGCACCAGAGCAGGAACGCTTCGACCATGTGTGACAGTTTGAGACGCTCAAGTTCGTATACTACCCAAAACAAGTCCTAACAAGTCCCTTTCCGCAGCGCCCCCTGAGAAACGCAGGAAGCCTATAAATTCAGTTCCCATGCGGCAAGAGGCAGTGCTCGATACGAGTCGTGCGGTCTTGTGTAGTGTACGCACAGAGCTCCAGTGAGGTTGTCGCACGTGCAGAAAGAGTTAAGTTCCCTCGATGCATGTCGGCACCGGTGGCGTAGCGAAACTGGCTAGTGATATCGGTTTATTAGATATAGCCGTCGTACAGTATACAACACTGAATAGTCAGCACACACGTGTTCTCGTATTTTTTTCACGGTCCCGTTAGCGCGGATCGCGCAGCGCGGACCCGTGAAGCGGCACAGGAACGACACCCGACTGGAACGACTCATGCAAGAAAGCGAGGAAGGGGTTTGCATACTCCCCAGACAACCCTAGTCCGCTGAACCAGATGAAATAGCGCGCTCCACTGCATCGGGCGATACATATGTATCTGCGAGAATTCCCCCCGTGTTTTTATTTCCCTCGGTTGTCCTTTTTCTTTTTTTTTTCGTGTGTGAATTTGAGTTTTCTATTCGTTGTATTTTTTTGAGTGGTGAAATCGGCCGAAACACCTACACGCGGTTTTACGAAGACTTCTCGTGGAACTTGCAGAACGCTGACATCGACGGTTTCGGCAATCTCTATTTTCTCGCAATCAGAGTTTCCGTTCTTGGTAAACTCTGACTACGGAAAAAAAAAAATAGTAGCTCCAATTGAGTGAGACTGCGCAACGTAAAAGTCATGTTTCTGGAGCCTGCACGGGCACAATCTTTGCGCGCAGTGACAAGGTTCAGGATGAATGACTTACGCATTGTCATAAAAGATTACACGGAGTGGAATCACGAGAATTTCTAACGAAATGAATTTGAGTGCAAATGTGCTATTTACCCGGTGTTGTATGGCAACAAACTCGCAGCTGTCCCCTGTATGATGTATTTTCATATAGGCCTAATGTAAAAAAAATATCGTTTTGGCAGTTCAAAATGCTAAAATTTGCTTACTTAACTTTTTGGCGTTACATGCACGGTGTTATTTTAAGAAAATTATCAATATTTGTATAAAGTTGCTAACACGCTTCAGTCATGGTTAGTAAACGTAATACAGTTTTATAGGCGGGAACAAACACCCAAAAGACAGATGAAGTTGCAAACGCAGCTACACGTCTCTGCGATTGTTTTTTTTTTTTTTTTTTTGTCTTGGTCTACGTTTTTTATTAAGTTTATCAATAGTTTGAGATCGCGTAAAGTTTCACCACTATCAAATGCTTGATCAAATGCATACAGGATGCTTGATTTTAATTTGAACGTACTTAGTTAAAAAAAAAAAAGCCGTGCAAGGTGGAATAATGGGGTATGTGCAGGTGAGTTATACGGCCAGGAGTACATATTATAGGGGGCTAATCGTCAAGATAAGTTTAATACTTTTCAATTAGTGAAAATAAGCGTATGATTCCAATTAGAAACTTGCTGAGCGTCATCTACAAACACTAAATCAATAAATTTCAGGAAAGAAAAACTGAAGCACGTGTGATGCGTGAGGATTGCAGATTAAAAGCTTATCATCCACATTTTCGGAACGCCGGCGTTGCCCCCGTCGGACAAGTGAAACATTGAGCGCACCCCTGTGCCTACCACGTGCTTCAAATCTACCGAAATTGGATTTATTTAGTGGTTTTAGATAACGCTCAGCAAGTTTATAATTGGAACGGTATGTTTTTTTGCACGAACTAAAAAGCTAATTAAAAAAGTGTTTATTATGCAACTTATTGTGTCGATTAGCCCCCTAATGTACCCCTGGTCGTATAACTCACCTGCACAAACCACGTCAATTTAGCTTTTACGAATTTTTATATATATATATAAATTTGTTTCCATTAAAAATTAAACACCCTGTATGTTCTGGGTGTCTGGGAGAAAATTGAACCGAGTTTTTTTAACCTCAAAAATAAATTACTCATCGCCGTACTCTCAGTACCAATCCAAATGTAATACAGTAGCAGTTAGAACCGGATTCTAAGGTTTCAGAGCTCACCGTTTTCTAATTCAAAAAGTTATAGGCGATTTTCTTAATACTTTAACGAGAAAATGGCGACTAACGGAGCTCGCGAATTCGTGGAGTTGAATGGCGAACGCTACCATTTCCTCATTGAAAATTTCCAAAGATCGAGGATAAGTTTCGAGTCGGATATTCTGAAACTGGTCCGAACCGCTGGCGAAACATGTGGGCGCACACTCGGCATACGGTGATGCGTAGTTCATTATTACTGTAACCTAAACAAAAATTACACGGTTCTCTGTTCTCGCCACTCACCCGTTACATAGCATCTTGCGTCCAAGGAGCATAAAAAAAAAAAAATCTTAATAAAACGTTAAAAACGAGGCCGGCATGATGGAGAATGTCCGAGATTCGGTCAATATTTTTGTCGAAAAATAGATCAAAGAAATTCACCCGTTGCCGAGGTCATTCACCCTGGCGACCGGACGACTGGCGGCGTGTCTTGCATCCTCCTCCACAGCCGGCGCCGGTTCCACGTGACGCGGTAAGCCGTCGCCATTCGTCGTGATCGAAAAGATCATATTGTCCCACTTCGGCGCCACTCCAGAGAACCGCTTCTTCCAAGCTACGCCCGCGCCGATCTCCAAGAGTCTCTCAGCACTCCATCGCTTTCAAAACCGACTTACGAACAAGAAATGAAAAGAATTCCGCCCACTAAAGCTTTCGAATCCTCAACTCGCGAGTAGTGCTCGGGTGTCTGGTAATCTCCCCTAATCTCCCTCGCCTCGCTCATTTGCTTGGACGCGAAATCCGCGGCTTCGGAGTCCTAACACCTTAATGCGCCCTCGGTTTGAACGCCACTTCAACGTCTCGACTCAAGAGGCCGTCTGGCTCCTACCCAACACTCGAAAGGACAAGAAGAAAAAAACGGAAAGAGCTGTAGTGTCGACGGGCGCTACTGCCGTTTCAATAAAACGCGGGAAATAAAAAAAGAAAAACAAATTCCCGAGGTATCGAGACGCCAAATACACTGCACCGACGATCCACTTTGGCAAAAAGACCAAGTTGTACTGAAAGCCCTCGAGCGACCGGCTCTGCCTTTATATACTCAGGCTATGCCGATGCAAATCAATTGTATGCACACGGAAAGAGAGAGGGTAGCCGTGAGCCGAGAAGGGGGAGGGGGGGGGGGAGAGAGGCAGGAAGGAAGTCAAAGAGAGTGCAGAAGCAAAACGATGGAAAGTGAAAGCCGAAAGTACCTACCGACGAACGAGAAGGTGGGCGATCCATAAAGCCGTATAAACAAAAAAAGCAGAAGTCATAATTTCCTCCTTTCCCCATTCCGTCCTCACCTTTGCTCTTTCCATTTTTCCAGGTTAAAGGGGTTGGCAGACGAGCAAAGGGGAGGGAGGGAGGGGGTGGGGGGAGAGAGAGAGAGATTTGGACGGGAATTTGAGCAACGTCCGTCTTTGCAGAACATCGCTTGACGATGTCGCGTTTTTTCTGGCACCGTTACGCCGAGTCTCTCTACCTTCGGAGAATGTCCCTTGTTATGGCTTCTTGCCCATTTCCCATTTTCCTCTTCTCTTTCCTCTCTCTCTTCTCTCTCTGCATCTCTCTTTCTTTCTTTTTTTTTTTTTTCTTTTTTTATTCGCGCTTGTCAACAATGGAAGCTGGAGCAGTCGAGCTTGTCGCCTTTGATGCGGTAAGTTTAATACGTAAGGGTTCCCCGGGGCTCTTTATTTCTTAGACTATACTCAATTCTGCCTTCCTTTCAATTCTGGCTGTATACTATACTCCCCGCTCTTCCTGTGAAGGTGTACTATTTGCTCGTTTTCTTTTCCACGATTGCATTTTTTTTTGTTCTTTCCGGATATGATTTAAGGTGCACACCTAGAAAGTGCTGCAGTATCCGCTTTTTTTATTTAACGCTAATAAGCTACACCGCATAGCGTTGTTTAATGAATTGACTTTCGTAAAACTTTGACGCAACGCGCTTTTTTTTTTCTTTTTCTCGTTTAGTCTTGAAACCAGGAAGTTTTTGCAATCCTTATAGTTGCTTCGAAAATGTAAAAAACTACCCTCCCACGGTGGCTGTAGTAGAACTGTTCGTCGAATCACAATTGGTAGCAGGGCAGTTTGTCACATAAGACATTTTGTCATAGGGCATAATGTCGCGGTAAAGGTTCGTCAGGCTATTAAAAGAACTTTGTTTTTCCGAGTCATATTTTTTGTGCCGAGCATATTGCTCCCAAAAGGAAAAACTTCGGGAGAGGCCCTACTGACACAAATGTTTCGAGTTTATTTTAATGGCAGGTCGAATCGATATTGCTTTCGCAATAAACGCTGTCCGATTTCCCGGGACTCCAACCAAAACCGGTTACTCATCGGAAGACAGCGGTAAACATGCACGTTTGTCAAAACGAATTCATTTAGAAATGGTCACTCTCCTGTATACGGCCTGCAGTTTCGTCTCTTCTTTGCGCACTTCGTGCGTTTGTTTGCCCCCCAAATGCGCCAAGTGCTTTTGTTTTCCCCGCGACCTCAACCTGTGACGGCGCGTACTTGGATGCCAAGTCATCGTGCCGTTCCTACATGTTCTCTGTGTCGCCCTTTCATTGAAATGCCCCTCCTTAAGTTCCGCGGAGCGCAAAATTAAAGACGCAATTTAGAACACTTGCGCGCCGTATAAATAGAGATACGGGCCGTTTGTCGAAATACAGTTCGTAATAGTGCAACTCATCACATAGGGCTATTCGTCATAAGGTAATTCGTCACTGGGACAACTCGTCGAAAAACTTCAGATAATGTTCGAAGATCTTATGGCCCGCGTACTAATTTGTTTAGCGTTCGGTCGCTTCTGTTATTCAACTTCTGTGTAGTGTCCGGTTTAGCAAGTTTCGCATGCACGACACAGACTTCGTATGCGTGACACAGACTGCACATGCGCGACACGGAGAGAATGTAGATCCCCTACGTGCGTGACACAAACTGCGCATGAGCAACGCAGATGGCATACACGCTACATGAAAAGAATGTAAAGCGTCCACTTGGGCGACACAGACAGGGACTGCGCATGCGTGACCGAAACGTTTCACGTAACACCCCTCAATTGCCTAGTAATTTGTCATTAATTTTTTTTTCATTAGTGGCAGAGTGGTACCAAGATTGTGGGGGACAAGGCATAACCAGTTAGTGTCTATTAGAAATTAGTAAAAGTAGTATTAGTAACCGACAGCACAGACATCTTTGAGTCGTGCGCTCGAACCATTTCACTATGAATCGATGTATCTCTAGACCTTTGCATCGCTTATCACCCGGGCGAAAAATGCTGAGTCACTGAGCTGTGGGCGCATGCGCAGCATCTGATGTACCGCACAGCAGTGCAACAACACATGTTCAGGCGTTTTTCACAACCAAGCTGACAAGGATGGCAGCGCGCAGAAGCCGATTTTTCGTTGAATGACGATTCGTCACACGTCAGCCGGTAGCAGGGGTATTCGTCACATAGGGAAATTCGTCTGATTGCAGTTCGTCACTGACAATGCGTCAAACTATTAACAGATATTTCCTATTTCTGTACCCTATCTCATTATTATCGAGCATACACTCTAAATAAAAGCCCGTGCGTCTACTTTCCCGCACAACATTCGGACAGACAATCACCGCAACCTACGGAGGCAGCTCATCGAATTGTGATGCCAAAACATACGTTTAGACCAAAAAACGCAGTCTGAGTTGTGACATTAAGCAATGCAAAACGTCACGCTTGCATTGCTTAATGTAACAACTCAGACTGTGTTTTTTTTTTTTCGTTTAAACATATGTTTTGGCATCGTCATTCGCTAAGCTGCCTCCCTAAGTTGCGGTGATTGGCTCTCCGAGTGTTGTGCGGGAAAATAGACGCACGTGCTTTTTTTACAGTCTGGGAATCCCGGAATACCGAGTAGTCCATCAACGTTGATAGATGTCCTCAACAACTAAGCCGCAAACTGAACCAGCCTAACTGGGCGAGAATACTAGGAAAAGCTTACGTCTTTCCCCATCTTTTTTCAGGCATAACTCAGTCATTCGCAACAACGTTGTATACCTAATGAAAAAAAAAAATATCCGCGGGCGTTTGTTTAACACCGCATATCAATCACGAGCAAATCCTTCGGTACAGTCATGTCTCGTTAATACGGACCCGGTTATTACGAATTTTCGGAGACGAACTGGGGAAATACGTGCACTTCTCTTTCGTTATTAAGGACATCTCACATTATGGAAGCTTTTTTTTTAGTAAACGGAGGCGTCCATATAAACGAGACATCAGTGCACCCGAGCTTAACGCAGCGTGGGACCAAGAACCGGAAGCCAAAGGTCGCTTCTAAGGAAAAAAAGAGGTCGAGGTGCCCTTTTTCTGAGAGGTGGCATCCGTCATATTTGGACGCACGGTGGCAAACATGTTCCTCCGACGGCGCCTTTCGATTACGAGAAAAACGGTGACAACTTCGTCACTATAAACACATTAGAGGACGTGAAGCAGACCGTGGGATATTACCCAAATTATATGCAGAGCTTCGAGAGGAAATCCCCGCCTGGTACCGTGGTTTAAGACGTTGCGGATGCAAAGAAGGTTTTTATTTATCTTTTTTTTTTTAATTGGGAGCTTAATGTTTTTTACGTTTTGTACTTATTTTAGATCAAGAGGTATAACATAGGGTACAACGTATTCGGAATATGATTCCGACGAATATGACACAGAAGGAAATTACTGTGTATGGAAAAATAGAAATACGCAGAACGACTCCCCCACGGCTCCAAATGAAATACAAAGAGGGTAGAAAAACATCTTCTTGTCTCCTCCTTATTTTGTTTTATTATTGGACTGATGGGAAAGATACATCTTATTTTTGTTACACGAGTCGGGAATGCCGAAAAGACGCTCAGTGTGTGTACACTGCTGGTACTGCCTTTTTTGTGTTGTTTGGATTGTATGTTCGTGAACCGCATGGAACGTGCCAGACATTATTTCTTAATAAAGAGCTGTGAAAATGGTGTGGTTCATAGAATTCATCAGTAACAAATTTATTTTTGTTTATTTATTTTAACAAAGTCACAGTTTAGTTATTGTCTTCACCTTTTTTTTTTTTCTAAGTTGAATTTGCGTGTTTTGTGTTTAAACTAAAATGAACTCTGCTATATCGCTAAGAAATGTTATTTGTGTCTCCTCATATTCGCATGTTTAAATGACGACAAACGTTTGCCGGATTAGGCGAGATATTTCTACGGCGCATCATGATTATTGGCAAACAATACTCTTACAGGAAGATTTGTTTTCAGTGTGTTTTTATCGTGCATGAGATCTCTGGCCAAGGCTTGATAATTGGATCCTCCTACAAGGATGCCTGATCGCGCACTGTAGGGATATACAGAACCTGTATCGCTAAAAGGGACAACTTTTTTTATAATAGAAAAAAAAATTATTAATAATTTTATGGAAGTACGAGCTTGAAAGGCGAAGTAAGATCGTGCACGGAGCAGTTGCTTCATATTCCGAGTGACTTGCTCAAAACAAAATTAGATGCTAACACATCTC